ACAGGCTGTCGCTCTATCCACTGAGCCAAACCAGCTAGGGCCAAAATGAGTCTTTCATGAACACATTTCATAAAATAAAAAATGCCACTTTTACTCAGAAGAGTTAACTTTGATCACCACAAAGTAGAAAATTCTAATTCACTTCCCCAACTCTTTGTAATATAAAATATGAAATAATCTCAACACTAAGTATTGTGGCGATAATAAAACCTAAATATTTGTACTCTAGCTAGATTGAATTTGTGTCAAAAAACTTAAATCCTGTGTTTTGGCAGGATGGTCATTATAAAAATGAGTTATAAGATTTTGTAAGATAGAATCATAAATATCCAGTTATGATATAGTCAGGTGACAGATATATAGAGTTTGTAACTTCCCAGGCCTGTTTCTAAGCAGTTTTTTATTGGGTTTATTAGGGTGACACATTGGCTAATAAAATTATATGGGTTTCAGGTGTACAGTTCTACACGACATCATCTGTATATTGTATTGTGTGTTCACCTGTTCACCACCCCCAGTCAAGTCTCCCTCCATCACCATGTATTCCCTCCACCCTCTTTCCTCCTCCACACACACCCCTTCCCTCTGGCAATCACTGAGATTTTTTTTCTCTGCTTAATCCCTTCATCACCTTCTAAGCACTTTAATGTCTCATTTTGCTAAGCACTGATAATGATTCCTAGACTAACTTCATATAGTGTAGTTTTTATAAATATATAAGGGATGCATTTTTTACGTCCCAACTCAAATAAAAATGTAACCTCGTTCCAGTCCACCCCCCATAAGGCCAGGTGTGATGGATGGGGAGGCTGTTTTCCTCCCGACATGACCACCTCACCTCCAGCACGCAGAGCCCACCTTAGGATGGTGTAAGTGCCTCGATTCTTGACAGTTATGTTGTCTTCATGGGTGAAGTGACGCAGGCCATACCCAGGACAACACAGCAGCTGGCCAGGCTGATGGGGGACTTTGTGTCACTGCGTCCTGCCACGGTGACACGCTCTGCTTCCTCAAAGCATCTGGTCGACCTGTGAATGAGGCAGGAACTGAACAGGCTCTGGTCCCCCCATGCTGGTGCCTGGATGCTCTCCACCTCCCTCCTGCAGTCTCTCTGGGTCCAGACCACCCCAGCTTAGCATCCCCAATGTCTCTCCATTCTTATCACTTTTACGATTCTTTTTCATCCAAGGAGTTTGACAACTTTCTGTAGCTCTTTGAAAAGGAAAACTCATTCTCTTGGTCATATTTTCTTCTCAGCAGGACTTAAGTTAGGGGGTGATGGGGAAACAAAAATAAAGTCAAGCTCAGAAAAGGGAAAAGGAAAGGGGACACTAAATTAACTCTCAGTACAGTATCCCGGGGGCTCAAGAGAGACATGTGTTCTCAGGAAAATGGCCTCCTTTCTCATACTCCTCGTTTTTGTGGCTGTGAAATTCTTCCCCGCAATATAAACATGATTATTTAATATTTCCATTTTATTAGCCTTACTAATACACTCAATATTATAATTACTTGTCCTATTACTTTTTATAGCTGGGATAAATTTAGCCAGAACTCCATAGTGGGTCCATAAAATTCTCCTCTCATTCCTTCGCGGCACACCTGGGCCGCCTGAAACAAAACCCCAGTCAGAGCCTGGGATTTAGGGCCGTCGTTTTGAATTTCCCTGGCTTCGAGCTCACACCTAGCTCCACCATGCCTCCACCCGCTCACAGGTGGCTTCGCCTTCTGGCTTTACCTGGCACGTAGGGTGGCTTTTATCTCGCAACCTCTGGCTCTCCTCTCAGCTGCCGCACATCCCTGTCCAGGAGAGGGAGCAGCCACCATGGCTTGTTTCATGAAAAGTCCAAGCTCCCCTCTGTCGGGGGCTTCGCCCCACACAGCGGACTCGGAGGACTGTGAGTGCACGGCTTCCTTCACACTAGGAATCAATTTTGGGGTCAAAATGCTTACAGTGTCCAATATTGATTATATATCTTTACTAATTTTTAATATGTTTTTACAGATTTGGAAGAGAGAGGAAGAGAGAGGGAGAGAGAGGGAGAGAAACACTGGTGAGAAAGAGAAGCATCAGTGGCCGACCTCCTACACACCCCTTACTGGGGATTGAGCCCGGGCCTGTGCCCTGACTGGGAATCGAACCAGAGACCTCTCGGTGCACGGGGCGATGCTCGACCAACTGAGCCACCATGGCCAGGCCTTTACTAAGTTTTAAATACCTATTGTATGGTGTCCAGCTAGAGTAGCTAAACTTTCTGTAGGCATCACAGTAAGTGCCTTTATTTTCATCTTCTGTAAATTTGAAAGAACCACCAAAGATGATTCTTCTAGACCAGTGGTTCTCAACCTTGGCTGCACATTAGAATCACCTGGGAATCTTTTTAAAATTCTGATTTCTGGGCCTCATCCTCCGGAAATTCTGTTTCTTTGTTACTAATGTTGTGGCCCCACCCCATAACAAAGAAACAGAATTTCCGGTGGATGAGGCCCAGAAATCAGGATTTTAAAAAGATTCTCAGGTGATTCTAATGTGCAGCCAAGGTTGAGAACCACTGTTCTAGACTATTTATGCTCTTTCGTCAGAGATGATGTCCAACCTCCCACCTTTATTCTGGTAGTGCATGTATTGTAATTATTGATAAATAATAATAATAATAATAAGCTTCTTTACAGAAGGCATTCCCTGGAAATTCAGGGGATGGAGGTTTCACTTTGTGCTTCACAGATTTCATGTATTTCATGTCCTCAACTGCAAAAATTAGATGAAATCAAGCCACTTCAGGAAACAAGGAAGAGGGAAAAAAATAAACAAAGGGTGAAAACTGTTTGAATACGTCATTCAGAACTATGAATGTATTCTCTTCTGAGGCGTCCACATTCCTTGGCCTCCTTCTAGGAGCCTTTCAAATCCAGCCCCGCTCCACTTGCCTACCCTCCCTTCCATCCCATCCTACTCATCCACGCCCTGCTGCTCCGCCTACAGTGCCCGCACCCTTTCCTCTGCCCGTGCAGCCCGTGCCCACTTCCTTCGAAGCTGAATTCCAGTGCCACCCTCTCTATGGACCGTGTTGCTTTCCTCCTGTTGACTTCGTCTTCTTGTCTAGGGATCATCAGTCCCGATTAGAAAGGCCATTCTTGCACGTCTCTGGGGAGCTCGCCATGCCCTTGTGGACAGAGTCCAGCACGTTAACATCTGTGAATCCCTAGGACATAGACGACTTCCTCTGGACAGAAGAAACTCCACAGCCGTGTGAGTGAGTGAATTACCTGCAGGCAGAGGCTGCTAGCATAAAAAGGAGGAACTATCTTGGTGTCGATTAGGTTAGGGTCTGGTAGAGCAGATGAAAAGTAGACACATCATTATAATATGAGCTATTTAGTGTAATTGCCTTAGAGCCCAATTATACACATGCTTTCCCTCTATGTATTTGCTTTGTATTAAATACTAAGGAGTATTTCCCCACATACTTATGTCGTCCTATTATTACAAGAAATGCCAGTCTTTTTCGTTCGATTACTGATTTATTTGTTGCACTCCTGTGATTTTAGAGCCCGCCTCCTTGATTTCATGTTTTAGAAACAGGTTAAAAGAAAAGAATAAACCAACCTGCTCAATAGTCCCAGAACTGCCTCACAGCTGCCGTAGAATTAATTCATTCCCCTTTGAAATGAGCCCTGGCTCCTGTGAGTCAGACGGTGCCACGCATGGGACAGCCTTGCCAGGCACCACCCGGGCCGCCTCCCCACGGAGCCCGAGTGTGTCACCCACGCTGGAGTCTGCCCAGGAGCTTTGGGGAACTTTCCTACACTGTTAACAACCACTCCTCGCCAGGATTCGAAAGTTCATATTTTTCATCAGTACCCGTTGCCCAAATGTCTTTGGACCGGGTTTCTGGCACAGACTTGTTCAGGAAATAGGACGGGAGGAACACCTATTTTACATTTTAAGTGAAAAAACACTCACAAGAACATTACGCAATAATAATTTTTAGACAGTTGCTTGGTGGTGAAGTTCAGGCTCCACATCTCATGACTGTATTTTGGTTATGGGAGCTGCCATCTCAGGTCCCTGCAGTGCGACCAGCATGTAATTTCCCTAATTAACCTGCTTACTCTAACAGGTTACAACGTGACGTCACTGTTAGAAGTGAGCACAAGGCCCCTTGTCTTCTGTTCCTAATTACAAGTGAAAGAAATTAATGACAGCAGATTTTCAGGAGAAAATCAACTGTCCTACTCATTTGGGCCCTGGAGTCCTGTACATGTGCCTTGATTTGACATGAAGATCAATAAATGTTGCCATAAGATTCATATCCCATCTGAAAATTAACTTTAGCAGGGGTCGTGGTGGTGATCAGCATTAGTTTGTAAGTTGCAGAGGAGATAAAACATTTAGTACCCCCCAAAAAGGAAAGGGAAAGTTCCCAGTAATTAAAGCCTTGATCATAGTATAAGTTTTAACCCTACTTTATTTCAATAAGATATAACTTTAAAATTTCTTTTATTTTTTCCTTCAATATATTGCAATTTTCTATAAGCCCATGTAGATATATCCATATGTAATAAAAAACAATAGTTTAGAATCAAGTATTTATTATAGTTTTAAATGTCTAAGCATTAATCAATTAATCAACATTTTTTTATTTTTAAAAAATCTTTATTGTTGAAAGTATTACATGTTCCCTTTTTTTCCCCCATTGACCCCTTCTAGCCTGCCCCCGCCCCCCCACCTCGACCCCTACCCCAGGCCTTCACCACGCTATTGTCCGTGTCCATGGGTTATGCATATATGAATATAAAAGTTCTTTGGTTGATCTCTTCTCACCCACCCTCCCACCCCCACCTTCCCTCTGAGATTCCTTAGTCTGTCCTGTGCTTCTGTGTCTCTGGATCTATTTGGCTTATCAGTTTATTTTGTTCATTAGATTCCACATATGAGTGAGATCATGTGATACTTGTCTTTCTCTGACTGGCTTATTTTACTTAGCATGATACTCTCTGGGCGCCTCCATGCTGTCTCAAAGGGTAAGCACTTATTAACTACTAGAGGCCCGGTGCATGGGTTTGTGCACCGGTGGGGTCCCTCAGCCTGGCCTGTGCCCTCTCGCCATCCGGGACCGCCTCGGGGGATGTGGGATGTAGTAGTGCACAAAGTGGCAGGCGGCCAAGGAGGAGCCCGAGCCCGGGCCTGGCGCTGCTCCCGCTCATCCCGGCCCTGCTGCACCTGCCACTGCCACCGGTGGGGGCCTGTGGGCCGGGGGCAGCTCCTGTGTTGAGCGTCTGCCCCCTGATGGTCAGTGTGCATCATAGCGACCGGTCATTCTGCAGGTCGGTCATTTTGCATATTAGGCTTTTGTTATATCAGGTGTGCAGAGCCCCGAGGGTCTCACTGAGAGGCATGAAACATGTGAGACTGTAGATGAGGAGATGAGATGTGCCCAAGAAAGGCCTTCCCCGCGAAGCTTTCCCAACTGGACGGCGGGAGGCAGGTGGGTGACATCCAGGCAGAGAGGATGGGAGACTGGAAAGCCACGCTGGGGTCGGGAGTGTGAATGCAGACAAAGACGCCCTAGGGAATGAGCTGGACAGGAGAAGCTGATGGAAGGAACTGTGAGCCACGCGAGCGGTTTTCCAGGAGGCTTCTCTGTGCCGTTCTGAAGGCGGTGCCAGGAAAGGAGAAAGACATGAAAGCTGGGACCAAGGAAAAGGGCTCCCAATGTACTTCCGGGAAACGGTAAGAGGGCTTCCTTGGCTGACGGGGTGTTACTGTGATGTGATGGCCTTCAACCTCTCACCTCAGCACCCCCCTCCCCCACCCCGCCCCCACTTCTGGTTGTCATGAACCCCCCCACTTCTGGCAGTGTATTCCGTCTTCCCTGTGGGCCTCCCCTCCCTGCCCTCCCTTACCTGCACGGCACCTGAATTCGGTCTAAGCCACGGCTTCTCCTTCGGGTGGCGCCCTCGCCCTGCCCAGCCCGGTCCTGCTGGAGAGACCCGGTTAGTTGGGGGATTGAGCTGAACGGAGCTGAATCCAGCCTGTTACCTCCACCACCTGTGCACACCCAGCCCTCACCCACTCCTCCCCTTTCTTTGAAATTCTCCAAAACACGGGCCAGGTCTTCCGTGACGCCCGCACCTGCGTGTGGCTCTTGGCTCCGGGAGGCTGTACCCACCCACCAGACCAGGTGCCCGGGTCTCCCGGGGGATGACCCCGCCCTCGTCGGTCCCGAGAGCAGCGGGAGCGGGAGGGAGGCACAGGACGGTGGGAGGCTGCGTGCACCCTCACTCGGGACAGTCGGCAGCAAGAAGGACGACCAACCAGCAGCAGCAGCAGCAGCAGCCCGGCGCCCATGTCCAGCGCGCACAGCCCGACCCGATCAGACACGGAGCCCACGCACATTCCATCTCCGCGGGGCTGTGCCCACCCGCCTCCCTCCGCACGCCTCTCCCCCGGCCCCGTCTCCTTTCTCCTCCCCCCGCCTCCCCCACCGCTGGCCACACAGTCTCCCCCGAGCAAAGCGAGCCTCTTCGCCCCGAACCTCCAGGAGCGCAGCAAACCCTGCAGAAGTGGACGCGGATCCCCGGGTGGGCGTGTCGGGGGGTTTGCGCCCCCGCCTCTCCCCGCCCCGCCCCGTGCGCGGCCGCGGCCAAATTCAAGTGCGCGCAGGACGCGGCGGGTCTGAACCCGCTCCGCTCGCCGCACACCGTCCGCCGCCTTCTCCGCGCCGGACCCAGGAACGCAGCCTCCCCCGAGGCCCCGGCGCCCCCCCGCCCCGCCCCGAGGAGCCGGTGTGAAGGCGGAGCCGCAGGGCGGCCCCCTCGCAACGGCAGTTCCCGCCCTCGCCGTCTCCCTGCAC